GGGAGCTCCTTATGATCAGTTGACTGAGGAAGAGAAAACGTGTGCCTGGTTTACACATGGTTTTGCATGATGTGCAGGCACCACTCCAAAGTAGACAGCAGCAGCACTGCAGTCCCTTTCTGGGACCTCCCTGAAGGACATCAGTGAAGGGAAATCCTCCCAATGGGCACAGCTTCGGACACTTCACATAGTTGTTCACTTTGCTTGGAAGTAGAAATGGCCAGACGTGCAATTGTATACTGATTCATGGGCTGTGGCCAGTGGTTTGGCTGGATGGTCAGGGACTTGGACGGAATATGATTGCAAAATTGGAGACCAGGAGGTATGGGGAAGAGGTATGTGGATAGACATCTCTGAATGGGCCAAAGAAGTGAAGATATTTGTGTCTCATGTGAATGCTCATCAAAGGGTAACCTCAGCAGAGGAGGATTTTAACAATCAAATGGATAGGATGACATGTTCTGTGGATATCAGTCATCCCCTTTCCCCAGCCACTCCTATCATTGCTCAATGGGCTCATGAACAAAGTAGCCATAGTGGCAGGGATGGAGTTTATGCGTGAGCTCAGCAACGTGGACTTCCACTCACCAAGGCCTACTTAGATTTAGCCACTACTGAGTGCTCAATCTGCCAGCAGCAGAGACCAACACTGAGTCTTCTATACGGCACCAGCCTAGGGGTGATCAGCCAGCAATCTGGTGGCAAGCTGATTACGTTGAATCACTTCCATCATTATGCTTACTGGGATAGACACTTTCTGCGGATATGGATTTGCCTTTTCTGCACACAATTCTTCTGTGAAAACTACCATCTGTAGACTTACAGAATGCATTATTCGGTGTCATGGTATCCCACACAGCACTACCTCGGATCAAGGGACTCACTTTACAGCGAATGAAGTGTGGCAGTGGGTCCATGCTCATAGAATTCACTGGTCTTACCATGTTCTCCACCATCCTGAAGCAGATGGCTTGACAAAATGATGAAACAGCCTCCTAAAGACACAATTACGGTGCCAGCTAGGTGGCATTACCTTGCAGGGTTGGGGCAATACTCTCCAGGAGGCTGTATATGCTCTAAAACTGTGTCCAGTGTATGGTGCCATTTCTCCCATAGCTTGGACTCATAGGTCCAGGAATCAAGGGGTGGAAATGGGAGTGGCATCACTCACTATCCCCACTATTTACCCACTTACAAAATGTTTGCCTCCTGTCCCCACGACTGTGTGCTCTGTGGGTCTAGAAGTCTTATTTCCAAAGGAAGAAATGCTCCTACCTGGAGACACAACACTGATTCCATTGAACTGGAAGTTAAGAATGTCACTTGGCCACTTTGGGCTTCTCATGCCTCTGGATCAACAGGCAAAGAAGGGAGTTACTGTATTGGCTGGTGTGATTGATCCTGATTACCAAGGGGAAATCGTATTGATATTACATAATGGAGGTAAAGAAGAGTATGTCTGGAATGTAGGAGATCCCTTAGAACGCCTCTTACTACTACGATGCCCTGTGATTAAAGTCAATGGAAAACTACAGCCACCCAATCCAACATGACTATTAATGGCCCAGACCATTCAGGAATGAAGGTTTGGGTCACCTCACCTGGTAAAGAACCACAACTAGCTGAGGTGCTTGCTTCTGGAAAAGGGAATACAAAATGGGTGGTGGAAGAAGGAAGTTCTAGATATCAGTTATGACCACTTGACCAGTTGCAGAAACAAGGACTGTAATTGCTATGAGGATTTCTTCCTTGTATGTGTGCATGAAATATTTTTGTTTTCTTCACTTTTAAAATATAAGATGTAAACAGGGCTAGTGCATTTTCGGTTGTACACTTGTTAGTTGTATCATGTTAGGTGCAACTATCACTTTATAATTGTCTTTATTTAGAGATGTGCCGAACTGCAAAGGGTGGACTGTGATAGTCAAGGTTGTGTGTCAACTTGGCTGTGCCTTGATTCTCAGTGGTTTGGAAATTATGATGTCATTTGGTAGCTATGTAATAACATAATCCTTTCCATGATGAAACCTGTTAGGAGAAACCAATCAGTTTAAAGGGAGTTTCCTTGGCTGTGTGGCCTACATTCAATAGAGGTGGATTTTCTGGCAAAGCTCATTGCTTCTTGCTTGCTCTGGATCTTGCAGCTGGCTCCTGTTCATCTTAACTCTGGTTCTTGGGACTTAAGCTAACAGTTTACCAGCCGATCTTGGGATTCATCAGCCTCTGCCGCCTGTGAATAAGAGGCATGCTCTCTGATCTGCCAATCTTGGGCTCACCAGCTCCTGCAGCTACGTGAGTCAGGAGCAGCCTCTAGCTTGACCCATGAACTTGGGACTTTCCAGCCTCTACAACTGCATGAGCCACTTCTTTGTTATAAATCTCTCTAAATATATTTATATGCTCCCCTGGTTTTGCTTCTCTACAGAACCCGGCCTAAGACATTTATACAGAATATAAAATGAATACCTGTTTGCCCACCTTCTCTTTTAACTTTACTGAAGGATAAGATACATCTGGAAAAGTGCACAAATCATAAATGTACAGCCAATGAATTATCACAAAATGAACATAGTTTTGTAAATACCATCCAGGCTAAGAAATAGAGCATCACCAGGATCTCCAACCCCTACCAACCTTGATTCTCCACCACTCCCCTCTCTCTCCTCCACCAAGGCATAAAAAGCTCCCCAGGTTATACTCATGGGCTGGATCATTGTCTTAATGTTTACTTTTGCACTTTCTTTCCCTCATAGACTTGTTGTTAATGGAAAAAAAAAAAAAAAAAAAAAACAACAACACTTAGGCCTGAGGATCACTAGTCTCTCTGACATAATAATATTAATAACTAACATTTTGAATGTTATATGTGTCTTACATCGCAGCAACAATTTTGAAACCATTGCTCATTCTATTGGAAGGAATTTGGCTTTATTTTTCTAAAACTAAATTAAAATTCTCTCTTGAACCCCCATGCCACCTGATGCCAGAAAATACATTCTTTCTATTCAGTTTCAACAGAAACCGTGAAGCAATAGATGGCAAGTGCTCTCCTATTCCATAATGAGATGTGAGATCACAATGCCAAGGGAAGAAAGATCGTTGCATTGGGAAGCCTAAGGCTGCTGGGGCAAAGGCTGGTGATTGTCTCCATTGGACCACTAGTGGGTGCTACTTACAGACCCAAGCGAGAGAGCTAGCCTGCTGGTCATCTTAAATGCTGTCCAATGAACAGTCTGAAGAGAGGAGGTAACCCCAACAGTGTATCGGGCTACCAGACTTCAAGGGGCTGAAGAGACATTAGCAGCCAGCCCAAGAGATGCTTTGATAGTGACTGCAAAAATGCCCATCAGAGAGTCAGCTCTGAGATGTTCAGTAGGGATCCAGGGGTAAAAGCACATTGCCTAATATTTCAAATTATCATTCCGTCACCATGATCTCATTTAATAATCACAACAAACCTATGCGATACATGCTATTATTATTATTCCTCTCTTGCTGTTGCTGTGTGCCGTCAAATCGATTCTGACTCATAGTGACCCAATAGGACAGAGTAGAACTGTCCCATAGAGTTGCCTAGGCTATAATCTTTACGGGAGCAGATCACCAGATCTTTTCTCAAGTGGAATGGCTGGTAGGTTTGAACCACTGACCTTTTGGTTAGCAGTAAGAGCTTAGCTATTGCACCTCCTGGGCTCCTTAGAGATGGGGAAACCGAGGCTCCAAGAGGTAAGGTAGCTTGCTACAGGGGACCACAGCTAGGAAATGAAAGAGGAGAACTCAAAGCCAACACTTTCTCCCACTGGAGCCCATTCTCTGAACATCAGACACTTTAGCCTCTAGGAATCCCTATCGTGGAGGCCTTGGCTGGTGCAAACGGTTAATGTTCTTAGCTGCTAGCTGACAAGTTGCGGGTTAGAATCCACCCAGAGGCACCTTGGGAGAAAGGCCTGGTGATATACTTCCAAAAATTCAGCCATTGACAACCTTATGGAGCACAGTTCTATTTTGACACACATGGGGTTGTCATGAGTCAGAGTCACCTCAATGGTGACTGGTTACTGGTTAATCCCTATGATAACTATAAGAGGGGACAGTGTATTGGTCTTTTTCTAATAAAGATAATTCTCGTTTTTGGGGGGGAGGGAGAGTAACCACATTGACTCAAACAGCTCCTACCTACTTCCTTAGCCTTTCTCCCCTGAATACTTTGCTTTAGCTACAGCCCAGTACAACCTGGCCTCTGCCAAAAACTTACTTTTAATTTTTAAAGATCTAGGTCAGTTATTCTTCTGAATATGTGAAAATAATCAGAGAGTTATTAAAAAAAAAACAAAAACAAAACTCTGCCACAGTTTCTTTTTGAAGAAGTAACATTTCCTATCTAGAAAATAATTCTGTGCTATCAAAGTAGGCTTTAAGGGTTTTTTAGCATAAAGAAAATTGCTTTGATGCCTCAATTCTCGTGAAGTTTAGCTCAGACCCAGAGGTGGACATTCCTTCTAGGCCAATGTCAGTACTGGAATTGCTCCTTGTCCTCCCTCCATTTGGCAGAACTTTTAAAGAGGAAGAAAGGTTTGAGTTTAAGAGTATTGAAGTAACTTCCTGTTATAATTTTTTTACGTTTTATCACTTGGAAGTTTGTACTTTCCTTCTAAATATGATGCAATTCCTCGGTTTTTTTTTTTTTTTATTTTAAAATGTGGTATTTTTAGGATTATACACCATACTGATCCCCTACCCACCCCCCGGTATCACAACGTTCTTTTTCAGAGGGGGAGAAATCCCTGCCATTTTCCTGCCTTCTGCTTCTATCTGCCATAGCAACAAACGGAGTAAGCCTAAGTGCACCCCCCAGGTCATCAACCCTGCCTTTGCTGGACAAGCAAACGAAGCCAATGGGTAACCTGTTTTTAGAAACACCTCCAATGGGAGGGAACGCACGACTGCTTTTTGTTGACTGTTGCACGGTGTTACTGCACACTCGCAATGTCTTTCCCTCTCTGTGTGCACTCTTATCTCGCTGTTCTATTTTTTCCCTCATTTGCGTTAACTCTTTCTTACCTTTTTATCAAGGTCTAGGCCTTCCTTCTCTTCTCAGAATTACTGGGAGACAAACGTTACTCTGTAAAGGGCCGGGATGGTGAGGTGAGTAGCCCCTGGGAACCCCGGTGCTCCGCAGCCATGTGGGGGAGGACAGAGGCGGATGTCATTTCTCATTTCACAGTGTGCGTATGTGGCTGCTGCCTTTCCACCCAGCTAAGCAAACACTCGAGATCCTTTAACTCCGGAACAGGCATTTCTGAGTCTGTTTGCAAACAGGACACTAGAGGGCTCCCAGAGGTTAAAAATAAGCAGAAAGTTACTTGAATGAAAACGGATTCTGTCGGGCATTTGTTTTTCTTCCGGAATTTAAAATTGAAGTTTATGTTTTAAACTATTACGAAAAGTATACAGTTTAAAGCTGCGTTATCAGTCGCCAGTTTATAAGTAACTGTTTTGCTTTGCAATCAGTAGTTTTCAAGGGAGCTTTTAAAGCTGCACTGAAACATTGGAGATGAGGAACACTCTTGGACCCTGAAATGTGTTCTGCTTAAATGCCTGAGCCTTTAAACAGTTCTTTGCATTGGAATCAGGGATCGCATTCTTCCTGGAGCCACGCATGGGACCAGCTGTGTAAGTAAGGTGACTTACGAGTTTCTTCTTTTTAATAATGTGAAAAAGTACAGCTAGAGATCACTTTATTTTCCGTCAGTTGAATTTGTTGGAAAGAAAAGGAATAATAAAAAAAAGTCCAATTTGTGTGCGTGTGTGTTTGGATAAATATAACTGCTTTCACAATGTATGGGCGTTTATGGTTTTACATTATACTAAATCTTAATGTAAGCTAATGGAACATATCGGGAAGAAAAATTTGTACCATTAGATTGAAAATATACTTCTGAATTTGGATGCTAATACTTGATACTTATGCCCACTTAGTTAATGCAAGACTATTAAAAATAAACGTGAGATAGATAGCTATAGGTTTTTTAAAACCATCTGTTACTTACTTGTAAGTTATTTTTGACTTTAAAAAGGAAAAGCCGGGTTGTTAAATTGTAATGTTTTTCCTTTAGAACCTAATTATATGACTAGCTACAAGTTAGAAAAAATATTCTTGGGTTTTCTGGATTTTTTTTATTTCACTATTTAGAACTGAATATCAAAATCTATACATCTACCTTGTTTCTTTTTTGAGGTTTGATTTTTTTTTTTTTTTTTAACATTTAGTGGTGATATTTGTGAAAGGAAAGGGTTACTTTTTTCTTCACTCTTGTGAAGGAACTGAGGTGGTTTGAGATTGTGACTCAGTTAACTCTGTTTCCATTCATTCCCAGAACAAGTCGCACTTCTCCTTGGGGAGGCTGATACGGTTTTAAAAGACTCGTCGATTTTAAAAGGTTTGTCGTGGCGAGTGTCAGAAACATTCCTAACTCCATCATTGACCCTACACCACTGGAGACCACTTAGACACCGCAGCGGATGCGACAGCTGAAGTCAGGAAAGCGTGCATCATGGCAGCAGGAGCCACGCGCAGGATTTAAACTCTGTTCAACATATGGATGCGGCGGAGAAATGACCTGTGCACACAACCCAGGGCAACTCATAAACTGGTTCGTCTGCTCCCTGTGCGTCCCACGGGTGTGTAAACTCTGGAGCAGCCGGCGCCCTAGGACCCGGAGGAACCTCCTGCTGGGCACTGCCTGTGCTATCTACCTGGGCTTCCTGGTGAGCCAGGTGGGGCGCGCGTCTCCCCAGCACGGACGGACACCTGAGAAGGGGCAGCACCAGAGGCGTGACGCCGCCGAGGCACCTTTCCCGGAGATACCCCTGGATGGTACCTTGGCCCCTCCTGAATCCCAGGGCAATGGGACCACTCTGCAGGCCAATGTGGTGTACATTACCTTACGCTCCAAGCGCAGCAAGCCCGCCAATATCCGCGGCACAGTGAAGCCGAAACGCAGGCAGAAACATGCAGTGGCATCTCGGGCCCCGGGACAGGAAGCTTTGGCAGGACCATCCCTTCAGCCGCAGGAAGTTGCAAAGGTAGCAGGTGCTGAAGCGCCTGGATATGCCTGGGGAGGAAACCTGGCCAAAGATGGGGAGCGACCCTGGAGGTTGGTGTGGGGTCCCGGAGTGCGAGCTGGAGGCCAAGACTTCCAGCTGCCCAAGACCAGGGAGAGCAACATCAGGATCTACAGCGAGAGCGCCCCCTCGTGGCTGAGCAAAGAAGACATCCGCAGAATGCGCCTGTTGGCGGACAGCGCGGTGGTGGACCTCCGGCGGGTGTCTTCTAACAGCGGTGCGCGTTTGCTGGTGCTGGGGAAGAGCCCTGCAGGCTCTGTGCCTCGCTGCGGCCCTAGTCCCTGTGGGCTGCTCAAGCAGCCTTTAGACATGAGTGAGGTGTTTGCCTTCCACCTGGATAGGATCCTGGGGCTCAACAGGACTCTGCCGTCGGTAAGCAGGACATCAGAGTTCATCCAAGGTAACAGATTCACACACTTTGTTATTTGCAGCTGTTGGGTATTGGGGTTGATTTTCTCTTGTCCCTCACTCTTATTCTAAATGATTTCTCCACCCACATTTCCCATTTGGGCAGCAGCAACGTGTCTTCCTATACTCTTGGCATTCATTATTTTCCCGGCTTTGGGAGGATATGAGAGTTCCAGAGAAATACTGTACTGGACATGCAAGAGTAAGCCCACACTGTGTAATCTCTGTTCCCTGCTTCCCTCACTACACTTCCCAGTGGCTTATTAAATCTCATTAAAGCCAATGGCAATTTACATGAATATGAGAGGAAGCCAGGATGGAGGCAAAGAACTTGCTGACAATCAGGCATATTATGGAATAAGTTACTATGGGAAGAAGTAGAATTTCATTCTTTGGGTGTTTTTAAAAGTACGGAGGAAGTGGGTTATCTTTCTTCAACAGATGAAATCTTTTTAAGATGTCTAGAGCCAGACCATGTTAGATCTGGTTCAACTCCTAGATTTTACAACATTTGTTGTTGTTGGTTCCCAGTTGCCCTCAAGTCTATTCCAACTCATGGGGACCCCAGGTGTGCAGAGTAGAATTGCTCCATAGAGTTTTCAAGGCTGTGATCTTTCAGAAGCAGATTGCCAGGCCTGTCTTCCAAGGTGCCTCTGGTTGGGTTTGACCGCCCAACTTTTGGTTAGTGGTCAAGTATTTAACCATTTGTGCCAGCCAGCTACTTCTTTACAATGTTTAACCCCTTTGTTTTACAAAGAAAGACAATGATGCAGGTACACGTTATGTGTTCAGTCTGTATACTAACTAACCATGTGGCGTCTGCAAGCCATGATTATGGTTTATTGACGCTTATTTCCAAGATTCTGTCTTCCTGGGTGATAAAATGTTTGGCAGGTTTTAGGGTCTGTAACAAGTCACTGCAGTTGAAGGCAAGAGGGCTGGTCTGTGGCCATACCCATGCCAAGTCCTCTGAATCCTGAGGTTATTCCAAGATTTGGATAGAAAAGAGAATGTGTCAGTAGCTTGTTCTTGAATGTGGAAGGATCCCAGCAGTTACCACTATGAATCCAGGCTGGCCCAAGAGGTTCAAAAGTCCCCAAAGGGATAATAAGCTCAAAGCGTACTCCCTTACTCCCTGGCTCCATAAAATTTAGCCATTTCAGCACGGTTCCCATGGGGCCTGGACACGAATTGGTTAAAACTCGTTGTAGTGAACAAGAACCAAACAGTATTTCCAGTGGTTTTAGGATTCAAATTTAGTCTTACAGTTGATACTCCTTGAAGTACCAACGACTTACTTAGAAAGATGTGGCATCCCTTGTGTATCCTGGTCCGTGTCCAGATACTTCAGACCCAAAGTTATGATTCGATGTCTCGAGTCCACAAGCAGTGAAGAAGCCTCTTAGACATTTGATCTAATGTTGGTAAAAAATAATCTTTATTAAGAGTTTGCTATTTCCTACATATAGTTCATGTATACACTGACTCCTATAATTCTCACTATCGTGCTGTGAGGAAGGTGCTATGTCTTAGGCTGGATTCTCTAGAGGAACTAAAACTAGTGAAATGTTTATATATAAATATATATCTATATATATTTATTTCAAGTAAATGGCTCACACAGTAGTGGAGGCTGACAAGTCTCAAATCTGTGGGTCAGGTGTCAGCTGGAGGCTTCTCCCGACTCACATGATTGCGGAGACTGATGAACCCAAATATGGCAGGTCAGATGGCAGGTTGCTGGCTCATATCCCAAGAACTGGAGGTCAGAGGATGACGAGCTGGATGCAAGATTGAGAGAGCATGAGCTTTGCAAGAATATCCATATATATTGGATGCAGGCCACACCCCCAAGGAAACTCCTCTTCCAACTGATTGGCCACTCACATTAGATCACAAAATGAGGGATGATTACATAATATCTGCCAAACCACCGAAAATCGTGGCCTAGCCAAGTTGGCACGTAACCTTAATCATCAAAGTCCACCCTTTGTCAATTTGGCACCTATACACATCTCCTTAAACCATACATAATCTCTAAATAAAGACAATTATGAAGTCATACTTGTGCCTAACATGATACAACTAACATATATACATCCAAAAATGTAATAGCCCTGTTTATATCCTATATTTTATGGTAAGTAATGAAATAAGAGAAGGAAGAAAACAAAGATATTTGCTGTACACACACACACATATAACAAAACGAAGAAGAAATACTAAAAACTATTACATTTCTGCAACTGGTCACATGGCTGTAGCTGGTATCTAGAACTACCTTCTTCTACCACCCATTTTGTATTTCCTTGGCCCTCAGTAAGCACCTCAGCTGGTTGTGGTTCTTTGCCAGGTAAGGTGTCCCAAACCTTCGTTCCTGAAGGGTCTGGGCCATTAGCAGTCATGCCGGAATTGGGTTGCTTAGTTTTCCATTGACTTTAATCACAGGGCATGGTAGTACTAAGAGATGCCCTAGAGGATCTCCTGCATTCCAGACATACTCTTCTTTACCTCTATTATGTAATATCAATCTGATTTCCCCTTGGTAATCAGGATCAGTCACATCAGGCAATACAGTAATTCCTTTCTTTGTCTGTTGATCCAGAAGCATGAGGACCCAAAGGGGCCAGGAGGCATTCTTAATTTCTAGTTCAATGGAAACAGTGTTGTATCTCCTTGTGAGAGCATTCTTCCCTTTGGAACTAAGACCTCTAGACTCACAAATCATAGGGTCATGGGCGCAGGAAGCAAAACTTTTGCGAGTGGGACACTACGGGTGATAGTGAGTGGTGTCAATCCCATTTCTATCCCTTGATTCCTGGACCCATGAATCCTGGCTATGAGGCAAATGACACCATGTATTGGACACTGGTTTAGAGCATATATAGCCTCCTGGAGACATTGCTCCAACCCTGCAAGGTATTGCCACCTAGCTGGCACTGTAATTGCATTTTTAGAAGGCCATTTCATCATTCTATCAAGGCAGTTGCTTCAGGATGACGGGGAACATGGTAAGACCAATGAATTCCATGAGCATGGGTCCACCGCCGCACTTCATTTGCTGGGATACCCTGATGGTGGATAAGGCATTCTGTAAGTTCCTGGATGATAGTTTTGGCAGAAGCATTGAGTGTAAGGAAGGCAAATCAGTGTCTCATCTAGAGTAAGTGTCTATCACAGTAAGAACAAAATGGTGCTCTTTCCATGATGGAAGCAATAGGACACAATCAACCTGCCACCAGGTTGTTGGTTGATCACCTAGAGGGATGGTGACATACTGGGGACTCGGTGTAGGTCTCTGCTGCTGGCAGATTGGGCACTCAGCAGTGGCTGTAGCCAAGTCGGCCTTGGTGAGTGGAAGTCCATGTTGCTGGGGCCATGCATAACCTCCATCCCTGCCACCATGGCCACTTTGTTCATGAGCTCATTAAGCAATGACAGGAGCAGCTGGGGAAAGAGGATGAGTGGTTTCCACAGTACGCTCATCCTATCCACTTGATTGTTAAAATCCTCCTCTGCTGAGGTCACACTTTGGTGAGCATTTACATGAGACACAAATGTCTTCACTTCTTTGGCCCATTCAGAGAGGTCTATCCACATACCTGTTCTCCATAAATCCTTGTCTCCAATTTTCCAGTCATGTTCCTTCCAAGTCCCTGACCATCCTGCTAAACCATTATCCACAGCCCATGTATCCATCAGCATACAGTTGCACATCTGGCCATTTCTCCTTCCAAGCAGAGTAAACAACCAGGTGCACTGCTCGAAGTTCTGCCCATTGGGAGGATTTCCCTTCACCACTGTCCTTCAGGGAGGTCCCAGAAAGGGGCTGTAGTGCTGTTATGTTCACTTTTGAATGGTGCCTGCATATCATGCGGAACCATCTGTAAACCAGGCACGAGTTTTCTCTTCTTCAGTCAAGTGATCATAAGGAACTCCCCATGAGGCCATAGGTGCAGACTGGGAGATGGAAGGTAATGTGACAGGAGTGGAGACCAGGGGCATTTGGGCCACTTTCTCATGCAACTTACTTGTTCCTGCAGGTCCTGCTCATGCCTGATCTCATATATGCCACTTCCATTTAATGATGGAGTACTGCTGTGCACGTCCAACTTTATGACTCTGTGGGTCAGACAACACTCAATTCATGATGGGCAGCTCAGGCCGCACCGTGACTTGGTGTCCCATGGTTAAATGTTCAGTCTCTACTAAGGCCCAGTAATAAGACAAAAGCACTTTCAAAAGGAGAGTAGTTATCTGCAGAGGATGGCAGGGCTTTGCTCCAAAATCCTAAGGGTCTGCACTGTGATTCACCAATAGGGGCCTGCCAAAGACTCTAAACAGCACCACTGGATCAGCAGTATCATATGGCCCAAGTGGCAGAGTGACTTGCAGCAGACTGAACCTATTGCAGAGCTTTCTCTTGTTCTGGGCCCCACTTGAAACTAGCAGCTTTTTGAGTCACTTGATAAGTATGCCAGAGTAGCACACCCAAATGACAGATATGTTGCCTCCAAAATCCAAAAAGGCCCACAAGGCTTTGTGACTCCTTTTTAGTTGTGGGTGAGGCCAGATATAACAACTTACCCTTTACTTTAGAAGGAATATCTCAATATGCCCCCTACCACTGGACACCTGGAAATTTCACTGAGGTGGGGGTGCCAGAATTTTTGTGAGATTAATTTCCCACACTGTAGCATGCAAATGTCTTAGCAATCAGTCTAGAGCCATTGATACTTCTTCCTTACTATGTTCAGTTGGCATAATGTCATAAATGTAATGGACCAGTGTGATGTCTTGTGGAATGGAAAGATGATCAAAGTTCCTGTGGACTAAATTATGACATAGCGCTGGAGAGTTGATACAGTTCTGAGGTAGGGAAGTGTGATGGTTAAGGTTGTGTGTCAACTTGGCTGGGCCATGATTCTCAGTGGTTTGATAGTTGTGTGATGGTGTGATCACTTCCATGATGAGATTTGATGTTATGTGATC